TGCATCAAGAATCTAAATGCTAAAAGCAACCCTGTGATCTTCCAAAATTTCCACGATTCGAACATGGTTTAAAAAAAACATTGCTTTTTCGAGTATACATTTGCTATCTGCGTTTCAGTGATCGCCGATCGAGATTTCTTTTATTTTGCATTACATATTTGGATAAAGAAAAGTTAAGCAAATTCAACATCGATTAGATGCTGATAGAAATCTGGATCAATTTGTGATCAATTCTGTTTAGTTTGTTTCCTAATTAAGTAAGGAAATTTTAATTGACAGCACCAACAAATGAATATATACACAAACAAATGTTCGGTATGGTTAAAACAATTCAAGTTTTTGTATTGAATCTTTGGTTTAAAATTTTTTTTTTCCTTTTCAGTAGGGTAAGTAAGGTAGTAAAGAAGAGACTGGAACCCGGTTGTTTGTCAAAAGCATACGATTTCGAACTCGCGTAAATGTACATTTGCTAAATGCTATAGCATGAACGATCTTCGAAAACATATGTTCGAAAGTGCTCAATGTTGCATTTTAAATGCAGCAAAAACACTGCATTACTTAGCATACGTCTTCAAACGGGAATGCCTTTGTATTATATCATTTTTGACTTGAACCGTGTAAAACCGTCATAATGAATAGTCGTTTTATATAAAGGATTATGAGTATATGGCAACGCTATCTTTTATGCACTTCCAAAATGTATATGTATAGGTGGTCCACCTCGATTTGTTTCGTTTCATACATCGCTTTTACTTTTTATGTTAGTGGTATTTAAGATATGTGGTTTAGTTAGAAAAATAGTATTTTTTTGTTTATACAATCCTGGCATAGGAAGATATTAAATTACAGTTACATATTGTAAGTGATACGTAGCATATAGCAATTTTTTGTTGATTATTATGTGAACTTATATATGGATGTGTAACCTCTATTACTTCATTCGGGATTTCAATATATTTGTTTGAAAGCAAAGTAAGCTTTTTATACATATACTTCTATACTGCTAAATAATGAAATAATGAGAAATATTGAAATAGGCTCGTACGACCTATCAGGTGTGCAGCGTCAAATATAAAGTTCATACATTGATAAGTTTGATTTTCTGCGTTTATGTCTCAATCGATTTTAATTTTTTTCAATAATCAAGGAAATTGTTAATCTCCTTAAGTAATTCTATAGCTTAAATTCTGCGTTAAAAGTGCAACCAAATTCATATCGCCAATTGAACAAAATGTTCAGACTAAGTAGAAATTGGTGTAAGGAATAAGAAACCAGATTTGTGAACGAAGTAATTATCATTTTGCTAATCAATTATGATATAAAAATAGTAAACAACAAAAACAGTTGACAATTAATTTTTTTTCAAATAAACAGTACTTCAGAAAGTAAGATATCATTTGAACGTGCTTAAAATAATAATCTGGAGATGAATGCATCATCAACCACGCCGTTGGATACGGCTGTTAACAAACATGGGTCTTTTAAAGGCTTTAATTACCCGCTAGCTGAATCTAATTATACTGGGAATTCTAGCAGCTTGGCTTCCAAATGTGATAAATTTAAGCGTTACAGTAGGACAAAGCTTTTTGATCTTCGCAATGATTCATATTCTCGTCGCCGTCCTGAAAAAAATCTTCAAGCTGAATTGCAATCCCTTGGTATATGGAAGTTTAATTCCGGTGCGAACGTATATCAAAATGGTGTTAGCCCAAGCAGCGAAGCGGCTATTGTTTCTAGCTTAAGTGGCGGTAGTCACTCGGTACAAGTGTCATCTACTCATTTGCGATCACAGCGCTCTCCTTCAAGACGTGATCAAAATACGGCAGTAAACATAAATTCATCATCTCAGCATAACTTATCTCATCATAGCCTTCATAAGTCTTACATTGATCACCGCAGCATTTCCTCGTCACATCTCATGCCAGCATTTGCAAAGAGACGAATAGCGGCTTCTTCAACCACAACAAGTAATGCAACCGGAATGGTTTCTCAAAATTTACCTGGCAGTGGAAATTCGTCGTATGGCCCCAACTCTCCGGTTGATACCCGGTCACAAACACCTACGGATGTTAAGGATGGCATATTGTGTACCAGTATTTCTGCGGGAAACAATGGCCATATCAGGCAACGTACTAAAGACAAATTATACGAATACCGTCATTCTGCAAGTGCTGGAAGTTCCAATGTTGGAGATGATCCAAACATATTATTTTCTCCGCAACGTAAAGTATTGGGTAAGTTCAACATATTTTAAGTTATTTAGCATTACGACTGCAAATTACTTCCAGCGCCAGTTTTTGGTAGTAGTGCATCTGGCGGAAGATGGCCAAAACTCATTCAAAAAGTCGGAAGGGGTATCAATCGACGCGTTTTAAGGCCAATAATAATAATCCGAAAGCGGAAATGGTATTTGTGAACTTCATGGTCCACAACGAAACTCACGGCATCTCCTTTATTCTACTGTTGTTTATTCTGCAAGGTGTTGGAAATATATTACTTTTAGAAAAGGTTTTAATTAGAGATGCCAATAACAATAAGTTGCCAGCTTGCACAATTTAGATGAAATATTAGGAAAAAAATTAAAATTGTTTGGGAAATACACGAAAACAGAATCATTTGTATAGCCGGACATAAATAAATATGCGAAATGTTCATACGTTCGATGAAAATTGTGCAAAAGAAAATTAACAAACGCAACTTGAGTTGGGTTTTCTTGCATAGGGCAATTTGGTCGGGTTACACATGAAGCGGCTTACCAAATTCTTTAAATTTCCGTCTATAATCTTTCAGCACTTTAAACGCGATGGTACAAAAAGTGAAAATAGATGGCTGAAATTTTGTATCTGCATAAAGAAAAAACACTGTTGCCTACAAAACAACTAAACTATTAAGGGCCCTTAAACTCGCACTGAAAAACTGGTCAGTAGTTTAAACATAGTTTAAATTTAAACTGAGTTTAACTAAACTTCGTTTAAACTGAGATTAAACTAACACTGAAAAACTGGCCCTAAATGTGAAAAATTTTAAGTTTTTTACAATTAAAGAGATTAAATTAAATTTAGATTGCGTTTCTATTTATGTAATTCTGTTTGTAAGTACTTGATTTTTACATAACATTTCTTTTGCTTCTGTAGGCGCCCTTCGGACCCGATTAGGGATCATAACTTTTACTACGTATAATTTTCGTTCCTGTGTTGTCGGAGCAGAGTAGCATAACTTCCTTCCGCGTAGGCGTCCTTCGGCGGGGCTTAGGGATCATAACCCTTACCTCGCAGAATTCTCCTTTCTGCGTTCCCTGAGAAGACTGGCATAACTTCTTTCCGCGTAGGCGGCCTATAGCCGCGCCTAGGTATCATAACCCTTACTACGCGGAATTCTCCTTTCTGTGTTGCCGGAGAAGAGAGCCAAAACTTCTCTCTGCAGAGGCGGCCTTTGGTCGCGCTTAGGGATGTTGTTGTTGTAGCGGCTACAACAACCCCACCACATTCCCACGACCGCCGGTTCTACGTACCGGAATGACTCGGGTTTTACCCGACCAAGGGCTGTTGTTTCGGCGATCTAACCCCGTTTAGGTCGGCGAAGTATCTCAGAAGTTGTTCGTCCATAGGGCTACATTCACTACGTATTCTTCTACTCAGGGCTGACATCGAGTCAAACCCAGGGCCAGAAATCTACACCTGCTGTGTATGCCGGAGACGACTACACCACAACTCCACCTCTGTCAAGTGTAAATTAAATTTAAACTAAGTAATACCTGCGAGGGGTTGAGTCACTTTAGAGGACTACGGACACATCGACAGTGGACCACGTCGTACGTGGCCCCCGGTTGCTCAAACAGAGCAGCCTCCACGGCCAACCTCAGTCCACCCGAGCAGCCTCACACAGTCACCACAACACAACAACATAATAACACCACAGACCATACCACAG